CTGTGGAAGAAGGATTTAACCGTTATTCTAGTCTGAGAGTTAACCCAGCACTTTTTCAATTTGACTCAGGAAAATGAGTTAATACCTCCGGAGGTGGCACCTGAGTTTATAGTCGAGCTAGTGATTTAAGAAAAGCGGTGGCTCTCTGTGGCCAGAGATGATTTACTAAAAGCGAGTTAGAAAAGTTTATTAGGGATAATATTGGGGAGAGTTTTTAAAAAAACAAACATATGACAACTTTACAAGAATATTTAGATAGTAAGTATAAGACTAAGGAGGAGAGGGAGAGAGTGAGGAAGATTAATATGTGAGAAACCCAAACCGAGAGAGAGAGAGAGAGAGAGAGAGCAAATTGGAGGGAGGAGAATTAGATTTAAGTGAGTATGTGGGATTAGAGGAAATAAATGTGTGGGGTTTTAATCTAACTAAAATCATTTTGGGAGAGATGCCGAATTTAAAGAAACTTTCTTGTTTCAGGAATGACTTAAACTCGGTCGACTTCTTAAACACTTTACTTAATCCTGAAAAGTTAGAATCATTAGAAATTTTCGACAACAAAATCCAACCCACTAATATCGAAATATTTAGTAAGTTTGTTAATTTAACTCATTTAAAAATAGGGACTGCGGAACTTGGTTTAATAACAGGCAAACGCAACCAATTCTATGGTTCCTTAAAATCTTACCAAAGCTTAACTAAATTAAAAAGTATTTGTATCGAAGCCACCGATGTCAATGAGGGCTTAGAATATTTACCGGAGAGTTTAGTAAAAGAAACCAAAGGAGGAGGAAAATATAGTTCTATTGAATGCTCCCCCAACGATACCAATGCTAGATGCTCCCAAATCCAAGACCAACTGCGACCTTTCAATTATGACTTAGAAGCCTGATGATTGGCTAATTTTGATAAAGTAATAATGGTTCGGGAAGAAAAATTACAAAACAAAGAACAACTAATCCAAGACCTCCAAACCAAAATTACTGAAACTCAGCAAGAACTAACCCAAACCAAAAAACAAGAAGCCGACAAAACCAAAAAAATTGAAAGATTAGAAACTAAATTAAAACTTTTAGAGGAAACTAAAACCAAATTAGAAAAAGAACTAGCCGAAACTAAACAACTTCACCACAACCAATTAGCCGAAATAGTTAAAACTATCTTTCCCAGTAGTGTTAATCTTACTGATATTAGTTTTACTGATTTGAAAAACCAAGCAGAAAAAGTTGTTAAAGAAAAAGTCAACTATGAGAAAGAAACTAAGGAATTAAAAACCACTCTCACCCAAGAACAGGCCAAAACCCAACTCTTAACCCAAAAAACCCAGGAACTGCAAACCGAGCTAACTCAGCAAAAAGCCACTAATCAGCAAACTAGCACTAACTTACAAAACCAACTAAAAGTTAAAGAAAAAGAATTACAAGAAATCCGAGATAAAACCACGCTTTCTACCGCGGCTTTGCGGTCAGAAATTACTTCTTTACAAGAACAATTACAGCAAAGCCAGGAAAAGAACAAGCAGTTAAGCACTTACCAAGAACAAATTAAGAAACTTACAGTAGCTTTGGCAAAATCTCAGGAGCGATTAAACCTGGCTCAAAACCAAAAAGAACAATTAGCAAGAAATTTAAAGGAAATCACCAAAACTAATCAAGGACTTCAAACCAAAGTTATTAATTTAGAAGTTCAAATAAAATCTAAGGAAGAACTAATCCAAGAAATAACCAAAAAAAACCAAGCATTAGCCAACGCTTTATCTAAGCAGGAAATTTCCCTAGAAAACAGGCAAAAAATAATTGCTGAATTAACTAACCAATTAGATTATAATAAAGAGTTAGTAAACACAGCCCAACTAGAAAAGGAAAGGTTAACTAATTCTTTTCAGCAATTAGAAGAAAAATTAAGCCAATTCCAGCAAAAAAGAAGTGAACAGGAAAAAGAAATTAACCAATTAAAACAAAAACCTTTAACTAGTAATGCCAAAATGCAAACCGAACCTGATTCGGAATTAGCCAAATGACAGAAAAAAGTCGAGTTTTGAAAAAAAGAGTATTATCAAGAAGTGAGGAAAAGAGAGAATATTACGACAGAACCTGAGCTTACTCCTAGTGGGCAATTCTCGCTTAATCAGGAAAAGATAATTCTAGCTCTTTTAGCTCTGTTAGTAATTTATTGGGTGATTTTGAGAAAAGATTAGATTTTAATTAATAATGTAGTTTCTTCATTCAGTATATATAAAATTAGAATATAGACAAACTGGAAAAGTTATTTCTCAGGTGATGATGCTTAAACCAAGAAAACAAAGTTCTTACTGGTTTTAATAAATCAGTAGAATTAACGGGGCTTAGGAAAAAAAACTTCTGTATAATTTTAATTCTTGCGAACAATTATAAAGAAAGAAATTAAAAAGGGCTAAATTATAAAAACACTTTATGGAATGGGAGAAGAATTAGGCTTAAACAATTTACTATCTACTTGAAAAAAAATTGCTGCTAAACATAATATTGCTTGAAAAAACTCCTTTCTTGGCTGAAATTTACCACCTAATATTACGGCCGACTTGGCTCTAACTTTGGCTTTGCCTATCGCACACCAAGCCAAAAAGAAGCCCCCAGAAGTCGCCCAAGAAATAATAAAAATAACTAATTGCTCTAATTTAGACTATAATATTACCGAGCAGGGTTATATTAATTTTCGTTTCCCTGCTACTTATTATCAACAATTTCTTACTAAAACGTTAGCCAAAGAAGGTCAGAATCTCCGCAGCAAAAGAAAAAGTATTCGGATAAATATTGAATATGTTTCGGCTAATCCCACCGGTTATCTCCATTTAGCCCATTTTCGTCATGCGGTTATTGGTAATGCTCTAGCTAATGTTTACCAATTTTGCGGCTACAAAATAACTCGCGAATATTATATTAACGACCGGGGCGGGCAAATTACTTCTTTAATTAATTCAGTTTATTTTTATTATCACCAATTACAAAATATTTCTCTGGCTAATTCCGCTAAAATAGAGTATGCTGGCCAAGCCAGTCAAGAAGTCGCCCAAAAATTAATAGAAAAATGGGGTAATAAATATATCTGCCAAGAACTAAATGAGGAAGAAATTAATGTTTGAAAGAAAGAGATTTTAGAACTGATTTTAACTAAAATCCGCCAAGATTTAGCCCGCTGCGGAATTAAGTTTGATATTTGGTTTTCCGAAACCAGTTTATACGAAAAAGGCAAGCATGAGAAATTACTCACGGAATTAAAAGCCAAGAATCTAATTTATTCTCAAGCAGGTGCTACTTTCTTCCGCACTAGTTTAGGAGGAGACGATAAAGATCGTGTAATTATTAAGCAAGACAGTGATTATACTTATTTTTTTTCGGACATTCTTTACCACTTGGATAAGTTAAAAAGAGCCGATAAGTTAATTAATATTTGGGGTGCTGACCATCATGGATTTATTGCCCGCTTAAAAAGTGCTTGTCAATTACTAAGTTATAAACCAGAAGATATTCAAATAATTTTAGTACAAATAGTTAATTTACTTACCAAAGAAGGTCGCACGGCAAGATTTTCCAAAAGAGCTGGTAATACTATTGAATTAGCCGCAGCCTTGAAATACGTGGATATGGACCAATTAAAGTTTTTTTTATGCGAAAAAGAACCAAGCCAGCCTATTTCTATTAATATTAAAGTGCTGAAAGAAAACCAAGAAAAAACCTGTCTTTATTATATCCAATACGCTCATGCTCGCTGCCACCAAATATTTCACAAAGCCCAAGAGAAAAATACAGCCCATATTAGTTCTAATATTAATTTATTATCAGGAGCCAAAGGAAGAAAAATACTTAATTTATTAATTCGTTTTTCTTTGGTCTTAGAAAACATTATTGAGGAGAACAAACCCCACCCTTTAATCCATTATTTATACGATTTAGCCCACGCCTGGCAAGTCTATTATCAAAATAATACCATTTTAGAGCCCGCTAACCCTGAATTAACTGCCCAAAAACTTTTATTAGTCAAAAATATTCAAATAATTTTAAAACTAGGTTTGGGATTAATGGGAATAGCCGCACCCAATCGCATGTAATGTTACTTCTTATTTTTCCGCAAGTAAAAATACAGGCTGCCAAAATGGGAAAGAATATCGCCTTGACAAGTTATTTGGGGAAATTGGTCCGCTAGTTCTTGGATTATTCTTTGACATTTTTCTCGGCCGAGGGCTTGCTGCGTCTTTTCTCTCCCTGTCATAACCAAGTTGACTTTTACTAAAAAATCTTTCTCTATTCATTGCTTAATTTGGCGCAATTTAACTTGTAAATCACTTTCGGCAATAGCAAAAGAAATCCGTATATCTTTATGGGCGCCTTCTTTAGTTTTCTTTTTTTTTTTATTAAGAGTAAAAAGATATTTTTGATAATTAACTAATTTACAAACTGGTGGGGTAGCGGCAGGAGCAACACAAAGAAGGTCTAAGTTAGACTTATGTGCCCGCGCTAATGCTTCTTGGCGGCTCACAATTTTCTTTTCCTCTTCTTCTATTAACAATACACGAGGGAAGCGAATATTTTCATTGACAAGATAAGAAGCATTTTCACTTTTTTTTTTTTTTGCTGAGCCATTGCTTTTAATTTCTTTTTTCGGCATTTTTTAATTAATTTTATATTTAGTGGAAAAGTTAGTTTGGTTCACTATATTACAATAATCTAAATTGCCGCAAAAAACGAATATCATTACCATAAAAGTGGCGAATATCTTCTACACCATATTTTATCATTAATAAGCGCTCTACTCCTAAACCAAAAGCCAAACCCGTAAACTTTTGACTGTCAAATCCGCAATTTTTTAGCACTTGGGGATGAATCAAACCTGCTCCTAATATTTCGACTCAGCCAGTTTTTTTACAAATATTACAACCTTGACCTCGACAGGGAATACATTGAGCGTCAACTTCTACACTCGGTTCAGTAAAAGGGAAATAAGAAGGACGAAAACGAATGGGGTGGTCAGCTCCAAACAATTCTTGCAAAACTAGTTCTAATGTGCCTTTCAAGTGAGAAAAAGAAATATCCCGACCAACTACAAAACCTTCAACTTGAGTAAATTGATGCGTGTGGGTCGCGTCGTCTTCATCGCGTCGATAAACCTTGCCGGCCGTGATAACTTTTAGTTCTTGATTGGGATTATTTTCCATAATTCTTATTTGCGTATTAGAAGTATGAGTGCGCAGCAAAAGATTAGTGTCTAAATAAAAATTATCATGCATATCTCGGGCAGGGTGCTCCGGCGGCATGTTTAACTTATTAAAATTATATTTCTCAGTTTCTATTTCAGAACTAGCGACCACTTGATAACCTAACGATAAAAAAATATCGTAAATTTTTTGAATAATTTGCGTTAGCGGGTGAAGATTACCCAGCGATATTTTTTTGCCTTCTAAATAAATATCCACTTTATCTTTTTTTAGTTCTTGCACTGATTTTTCTTCTATTTATTGTATTTTTTTGTTTTGATTAATTATAGTTTTAGTTTTATCAAATAGCCAAATCTTTAATAATTTTTTTAAAAAAAGAAAAGGTCTTATAAAACACCATCTTAGTTCCAGTCAGATTAAAAATATATTATGCTTGAACGAATAGAAGAAATAATAGTAGATTTAGGAACATTCTTGAAAAAATATATTTATCCTTTCGCTACTCCTTTTTTTGCCATTCTCAATTATGCCAAAATGAGAGAAGTATTATTAAAACATAATCATCCAAACTGGGCATTGTTCTGTCTCATTTTATCTGTGATTTATATCGTGTTCTCATTAGGTTTTGGTATATATTGATTAATCAACGGTTCATAGAAAAATTGTTCTTAATTAATAAATTAACAGACATTTGTCCCAATTGCTATAATCCTCCTAGCTAAAAATAAAAATTATAGTTAATTATGCTCTGTGCTAAATGTCATAAAAAAATCCCCCTAGGGGAAGAAGTCCAAAAAGGTAGTAGCACTTCACTGTGAAGTCGGAACCGAGGAATAGGCAGTGAAATAGTTTGTCGTCAATGTGCCAAAGAAGACCAAAAATGAAATAAAATAATGCTGTGAGTATTTATTGTGATAGTAGTAGTTTATTTGCTACTAATGTTGCTTTTTTGAAGACTGTGGATGATAATTGATAACCTTAAGGAAAAATAATGCTAAAAAACAATACCTTTTGATGGATAATTTACCAGTTCATAGAGCGAAGCAATCATGTTGAGATTTAGGGCTTACTACTATTGAAGAATTAGCAAAAAGTAAAGGTATAGAAATTATTTTCTTATCTTCCTATACACCTGAAATAAATCCAATAGAGAAAATGAACAATATTATTAAGCAACATGCCAGAGCAAAGCAAGCCAAAAATAAAGAAAAATTAGACTCTGTTATTGAAGAAAAGATAAAGATCTTTAAAGAAGAAGGAACAGTTAAGTATTTAGATAACTCAATAAAAGAATGTTTAGACAAGCTTGCTTCAGCAGACAAGATTGATGCTTCTAATCATAAATGTTGGATTGATACTAGTGATTGAGAAAGTTGAGAACCTAAAAAAGATCGCCCCTTTGCTAAAATGAAAAGAATTAATGTTAAAATAGATAATATGTGACAAGATTGAGAAATGGACAGTTTTTTTGCATAGTGTAGTAAATATATGGAGAAGATAGATATTGTTAATCAGAAAGGTGAGGTGGTAAATAACTTTCCTCTTAGTTCAACTATTTGGCAGATTCCTCTTTCCCCTTGAAACATTTCTCTCTCCCATCGCTATTACTTGGCTAAGCAACGACAAGGAACCAAAAAAGTTAAAACCAAAGGTGAAGTAACAGGAGGAGGGGATAAGCCTTGGCGGCAAAAAGGAACGGGACAGGCTCGACAAGGTTCAACTCGTAATCCCCAGTGGCGACACGGGGGGGTAGCTCATGGACCAACTGGGAGGGAAAACTATTCACTTAACATTAATAAAAAGTTGAAAAAAAAAGTTCTCCAATCTCTCTTGGGTGAAAAAATGCGTAATAAAGAGATAATCATTATTGATAAGATAGAATTAGAAAATTACAAAACCCAAGTAGCCGAAAACATGCTAAATAATTTACCCAGTAAGAAAAAAAAAGTTCTGATTATTTTGTCGCCCCACGAAAAAAAAAAGTCAGAAATAAATCAGGCTTTTTGCAATTTACCTTATATAAGCATTATTGATAGTCAAGCCATTAATGCTTATCACGTTTTAATTTCTCCCTCTCTTATTTTTACCCAGTCTGCCTTTTCCGAGGTAGAAAAAAGACTAGTTTAAAGAACTAGATTATACTAATTTTTAAATATAACTCCCACTCAAATTAATTATTAGTCTTTTTGAAAAAAGAAGAAAAAATATTAAAAATAAATTAAAAGGGAACTGTCGCCAAGTAGCTAAGGCCGCAGTCTGCAAAACTGCTATTCGTCGGTGCAAATCCGACCAGTTCCTCCAAGTAAAATCAATTTATGAATAGTGAATGGTCTGCTGCTAGAAAGATAAGGTATTTTTCTACTTTTAACTGTTGCTTTTATCCATTCTCTCTGCACAGCCTTAGCCGCTCACTTGGACTTGTTTCGCCGTTCTGAGTATTCTTTTGCTCGGGTCAGCAACATTAATATTGGCTGTGAATTTCGACTTGGTGGTGTATTTGAACTGCTTGATTAACAATAATTTTATAGTTTATAGTTTTATTGGTTAATAACCTCCTTATTTTTTTCCAGAAAATCCCGATTGGGATTTCAACTGCTTTCTTTACGTAAATTTTGTAGAATAGTTTCGGTCGTGCCAGTAATTTTTTTGGGTATTTTTACTTGTAACCAAGCGTAAAAATCCCCCCGCGTAGTTTTATTAATACCTAAATAGCAGCCTCGACCTCGTAAGGATAAATAGTCGCCATTTTGGGTTCCAGGGGGAACAAAGACTTTTTCTATCCCTTCCAACGTAATAACTTCCACCTGATTCCCCAAAATGGCATCGAGAAAAGAAATGGGCAGATTGACATGAATATCGTTGTCTTTCCGCTGGAAATAAGAATTTTCCTTAACTTTTATTTCCACATAAATGTCACCTCTGCTTCCTCCGTGTAACCCGTCGTTGCCTATGCCCTGATAGCGCAACTTTTGCTCGGGTTGAACACCCCGCGGAATACTTAACTCAATGATTTCTTTCAGAGCCAAAAACTTTTTCCCTAGACAATAGCCACACCTTTTTTTGATTATTTTCCCTTTACCTTGGCAACGTGAGCAAGTAATTTGGGTGCGGATGGCCCCCAACACGGTTTTTTGGATAGTATTGACTACTCCCCGCCCTTGGCAAGTTGGACATTCTCCAGTATCGCTGGGAGAATAAGCCCCCGTCTGTCGGCAAGCACTACACGCTTTTTCTAATTCCAAAGTTATTTTTTTCTTAGTTCCTAACACTGATTCTTTAAAAGTGAGAACCAAATTAATCAAGATATCGCTCCCCGGTTGTGGCGATGTTCTATCAGCGGAACGAGTTCGCTGGCGTGCATAATCAGTTTCACCGCCAAAAAAGGTGTCAAATATGTCCTTAAAAAAAGAGGAGTCCGGACCAAAGCCTTCGGTAGCATTAGGTCCTTGTCGAAAAGCCTCCTCACTCCCATATTGGTCGTAAGTGTGGCGTTTTTTGGGATTGCTTAACACCCCGTAAGCCTCATTTATTTCTTTCATTCGCTCATCGGCTTGTTTTCTTTCCTGCTCCGACTTGCCCGTTCAACGATCAGGATGCCATTTTAAGGCTAACTTACGATAAGCAGACTTGATTTCCGTTTCCGAAGCATTCTTGGCTACTCCCAATGTGTTATAATAATTCTTTTTAGCCATGAAAGGTGAGTTTAAGTCTTAAAAATAATAAAAAGTTGCCAATTATTTTTTGTCATCATCTTTTTTCTCGGGTTTGACATCTAAAACTTCTTCCTCACCACCTTCTTTTTTTTCTGCTTCTTTCGGCATTTTTTGGGCTAATTCGTTGGCTAGTTTCATCATTTCTTCCACTTTGTTTAACTGTTCTTTAACCGCTGGATAATCTTTTTTTTTCGTGGCTTCTTGTAAGGATTGATACATGGTCACAAAGCTTTTGAATCCTTCGTCATTCTCGTTAAAGTCTTTGTGTTTTTTGAAATCTTCTATTTGCTTTTCGAAAGTATGACAATAGGTTTGTGCACGATTAAGCAGTTCAGCATTACTTTTTAATTCTTCGTCCTTGGCTTTATTTTCCTCAGCCTCTCTCACCATTCTTTCGATTTCTTCCTTGCTGAGACCACTGCTGTCCCGAATAGTAATTTCTGACTCTTTATTAGTTTTCTTGTCCTTCGCCGAAACCTTGACTATGCCATTAGCATCAATGTCGAAAGTAACTTCAATTTGCGGAACCCCCCGTGGAGCTGGCTCAATGTTCGACAACTCAAAAGTGCCTAATACCTTATTATCTAACGCTCTTTGTCTTTCACCTTGGAGAACCCGAATATGGACACTCGGCTGATTATCTTCAGCAGTGGAGTAAATGCGGGTGGCCCGAGTAGGAATGGTAGTATTACGAGCAATTATTATATCATTCAGACCACCTTCGGGAGAGGCTACTTCAATTCCCAAAGAAAGAGGAGTAACATCTAACAAAAGAATATCACCTGTTTCTCCGGCTAGCACCCCACCTTGAATGGCTGCTCCCACGGCTACCGCTTCGTCAGGATTGACTGATTTATTAGGTTCTTTGCCAAAAATTGCTTTTACTTTTTCTTGCACCGCTAGCATGCGGGTCATTCCTCCCACCAAAATTACTTCGTCAACTTGGGAAACTCCGGCATCTTTTAGGCAGTTTTTACAAGGGGGAACTAACTTTTCCAAAAGGTCAGCGGTTAACTCTTTCAACTTAGTGCGGGAAAGTTTTTTTTCCATATTCTTCGGACCAGCAGCATCCGCGGAGATATAAGGAAGCAAGATGTCTGTATCTTCCAACGAAGAAAGTTCTTGCTTAGCGTTTTCAGCTGCTTCTTTGAGACGCTGTAAAGCGGTTTTATTTTTGCGGAGGTCAATCCCTTCTTCTTTTTTAAATTCACTAATTAATCAATCAATAATTTTTTGGTCGAAATTAGCCCCTCCTAAATAAGTATCGCCATTAGTGGCTTTGACCTTAAAAACTTCCTCTTCAATTTCAATAATAGAAATATCAAAAGTTCCTCCCCCTAAGTCAAAGACCGCAATCGTGTGCAGTCCTTTTTTTTTGTCAATACCGTAAGCCAAAGCCGCAGCAGTTGGTTCATTAATAATTCTTTCTACTTTCAAGCCCGCAATTTCTCCGGCGTCTTTGGTAGCCTGGCGTTGAGCATCATCAAAATAAGCGGGAACGGTAATTACTACTCGTTTCACAATTTCTCCTAAATAATCCTCGGCGGTTGCTTTCATTTTTTGTAAAACAAGAGCCGAAATTTGTTGGGGAGAATATTCTTTTCCGCCTAACTTAACGTAAGCGTCGCCATTTTTCCCAGCGATAATTTGAAACGGGGCAACTTTGTGAAATTCTTGCACTTGGGGAGAGTCAAATTTCCTTCCCATTAAACGTTTTACCTCAAAAATCACTCGCTCGGGCTCGGTGTTGGCTCGCTTTTTCGCAGCATTCCCTACTGCTTCCCCTCTTCCCTCTTTATTAAAATAAATTACCGAGGGGGTGGTATTTTTCCCTTCGTTATTTACAATAACTTTAACTTCTTTTCCTTGCCTAACTGCCACACAAGAATTAGTGGTTCCTAGGTCAATACCTACAATTTTATTACTTACTTTTTTACTCATATAATTTAATTTTTACTTACTTTTAATTATTTATTTAATGATTTTAATAGTTTTTTTCTTTTTTTATAGTTTAGTAGAATTTTATAATAACCCTAACACTATTAAAGAAACTGGAGAAAATTATTAAGTTTTCTCAACCAGAATATTAAAAGCTTATGTCATTATTTCCTGACCTTACCCCTTTAATCAATCAAATCAAAGAAAGCAAAATAGGTACAGTTTTGGGCATCTTGTAAGCAGTCATCAGGAAGTTTAAGATTATTAGGTTGAATACTTGGCTTGCTCAGTGGTTGCTCTAAGTAAAAAGATTTAGCACTGTTTTTAGTTAAAGAAACGGAGATACGGTTAGTGGACTCAATGTGTTTAGTGGAAACGGAAAGAACATTAAAGTCCGTGTGATCTGATTGTAAAAAAGAGTGTAAGTCAATTAAGCTTAACTTTCTTAATTCCTGCTAAGTCATTCAGTAATTTTTGGGGTGAATTTAGAATTAAATAACATAGCAACAAACACAATCAATAATCCAAAGTGTTTTCCAAGAGCACAAGACGAATATAAATCATGGGGAGAAAGTTAATTATCTGTTCCTGACTAGGGAATAACTAACCAGTCTTTTACCTGCCGAGGTTTCAGGCAACTAGTCATACCTTATTCCCTTCTCTTTGGAGGCTAGTTAGTCACTGGGTGTTTTGCTATCAGCAAGAAGTAAACTAACGAATAAGTCCCAATCAAGTATCCAAGAGAATAGTAAGAGTTAGCTTTCTTTTTAAGGATTTTTCTTGTTTCTTTGTTACCCCCAAGTTCTTTTATCCAAAAGAACCAAAATGAGCAACGGAGAAGTGGGAACTAATTATGATAAGGGGAAGGAGCAATATTTACGCAATATGATATATACGCTTCGCAATATATTCGTTACACTCATATATTGCTTCGCTACCGCACGCGTAGTAGGATAAAAAAATGCCATGAAACCAAAATAGTGTGAGGCCAACCTAATAATAATGTTTCAATTTAATAAAAAAACCGACCAATTATGGTATCAGCAAAAAGAAGTCAGCGAAAAGGGAACAGATCAAAACGGCGGCACTTGGTATCAACTGGATGCGGATAACCCGCAACACTGACTGAGCATTCAGCAGAACCCGTGAACCAATAAACTGCAAGCCTTCTATAAAAAACCCGCAACCGACGGACGGCTCCGCTATTTTAAGAGCAATCTAGCCGCTACGGGTGATTTAATAACCTTTTCTTTTAGCGACCAAGACGAAGTAATAAAAGACCCTGACTCGGGAAAATGGGTCAAGAAAGCCAATTATGTCCGACCAAAATATTAAACTGGAAAAAAGAACTTGCCAGCATTGTCAAGGGGAATTAATCCCTATCAGCCACGAAGGTGCTAACGGCAAAGAATATACTAGCGATTACTGTTCGAACTGTCAGAAATCCTGAAAAAAAGACGTCAAAGCCAAGCGACCCAAGAAAACACGGGAATTTTTCGACCAAATAGTCGGAAAAGAAAATCGCACCGTTCGCCGTGGTGATTATTACGGGGCTTATTTTTACGTGCTAAATCTCGCCAGCGGGCAACATTTATACTGCTTTAAGGAATTAGTGGAAAGCGAACAAATCTGAAACGAAATTGCCAACAGTAACTATAAAATGGGGGTGAACTACCTTTTCACTACTGAAAACCACGGGCAATTAGTTAAATTGCGAAATTATCGGGAAGTAGTCGGCAACGGCTCAGAAAAGCAAGAAAGCAATGGGAGCAACTAACAACATTTACGAAGTGTTACCAAAATATGAAATTGCACGGAGGAGTTGCTATTCGTGTCATAACGATTTTACCGAGCCCGAAACCGAGGTGGAAAACTATGAAATAGAATATCGCACTAATACTTCGCCCTATTGAGAACAATTTCCTACGGGAGCAGGTCGCGGCTGGGTTTCTATTGAGATAGCCCTCTACCATAAAGAATGTCCCGCGGAAAACAACCAAGAATAATGATAAAAGTCCTTTTAACTCTTGCCCTAATTAACCTTGTTTTGCTATTAGGGATTATTTACTGAATAGTTAACCACCGCTGTGAAAAGTGTGAAAAAGAAAAGGAAATTAAACGAATATTTAAAGAACTTTGCCAAAAGTGCCAAGGAAAAAAAGAAATCGAACTATAAAACCATGACCGACCTAGAAACCGAAATAAAGAATTGTAAAAAGTGCCAAGTCTACCACCAAGCCATAATGGAGGAACTGCGGAAATATAATTGCCTCGAACATAATAAACTTAAAGACATAACCATAACTTTTAACTGAAAAAATACTATCCAATTTATAATTTACGCTAATTTACAAGGTATTTGCCTTAGTTGCGACCTAGTTCAACCAAAAAAAAGAAGTCCAACGCCTAGTAGTCGGCATAAAGGACGAAATCAACCCCCACGAAAGCCAAAGGTGTTATCAATGTTTTGAAAACATGCTGGGAGCCGTGCTCCAAGATAAGATTTTAAGCGAAGCCAGTCGCGAACAGTTTAAAAATGTCGCAGCGGAAATTGACCGCTTACAACTCGAATACCAACCAAAAAGCGGTGAACCAGTCAATTAAAGAAGTGGTAAGAGTTGAGGAATTAAGTTGAGGGAAAGAAGGAAACAGTTGGCGAATATTCTTTAAAAATGAACTCTGCCCCAATTATATCAGCGGTCAACGGCAAGCCCGTTATCAAATCCAAGTCGGGAAAATTTACCAGTTCACCACCACAGAGGGAAAACATACCCAAATAATCACCGTCAAGGAAATTATCAGCAAAAATACGTCAGAAAATAACCGCGTAATAGAAAATAAAGGAGACAGAAAAAGTGAACAAAAACCAAAAGGAATTATCAAAGAAAACCGACCAAATAACCAAGACGAAGTCCCTGCCGTGCTGAAATGCTGAAAATGTCAGCAAGAAAAAGGAAACTTAGATTGTTTTAATTGCTCGTTATGTAATAATTCCCAGTGCTATTTTTCCTTTTTCAATCAGGCGACACGGTGATTTTGTGATAACTGCTGATCTAACTTAAAGAAGTTTGCCGACTGCTACAAGTGCCAAAGCACCAAAAGCGAAACCTGCCTAATTTAAGCCATGGTATTTGTCAAAAAAGATAATCGTAATTGAATAAATATAATTAAACTCTTATTTTTTGGCTAACTTCCTTTGTAATTTTGCCATTTGCCTTTTTAACTCGGGGTCTTTACTTATTTCAGCCATTATATCACTAAGGTTGCCCTTAGCCATTTTCTTTTGGAGTTCTTGACCCTTTTTAACTTGTTGTGCGAACTCTTTTCAACTCTTGATACCCGTCATTTTTTTTATCTGGTAAGTTATATATCATATAGTGCCAGCAAAACCGACAAACAAACCAATCAGAACCGCCAGAACTAACCATCAAGGATTAATGTTATTCATATTTATAATTTTAATCTTTCCCTTACTGCTTTTTTTCCTAATAAGCAAATAATTTTTGGTAATTCGGGTCCTTTTTCCTCACCAGTTAATAAGTTTCTAATTAAAAAAAAAAATTTTTTTTTGGGGGCTTTGCTATCTACCCACACAGTTTTAAGAACATTTTTAATTTCTTGTTCTTCTCATTTGTCTAATTTTTCTAATTCCTTATTCATTTTTCCTAATCAGGTGAGTTCATTTTCGTTGATACTAATTTTTTTATCAGGCTTTTGAAAAAAATAAATAGTTAAATTAATTAGTTCTTGAAAATAATTCAATTGGGAACGAAATAAAAGGGTAATTTGAACGGCTCACCCCTTTTTTTCTACTGGTAATTTATATGCTTTTTCTAATACTGATCAAGCATGTTCGCCAAACTGGCTTAAATCTAATTGCTGAATATAATGGCTATTATATCAGTTAAGTTTTTTCAAAGAATAAACCGCACCGCGGGTATGTAATCCCTCTACTTTAAATGCTTTTATGGCAGCGGATAAGGAAAATATTTCTTGCGTGCTACCAGGGTGCCAACCTAAAAATAATAAATAATTAACTATGGCAGGGGGCAAATATCCTTTGACCCGTAATTGGCTAATTAATTGTCATTGGCTAGTTTCTTTATCCCGTTTGGAAAGTTTTTTTTTTTCTTTATTGAGAATTAGGGAAATATGTCCAAAAAGCGGGGGATTTCACTTCAAGGCTTCGTATAAAACTAATTGCTTGCCGGTATTAGATAAATGTTCCTCACCACGCAAAACATGGCTAATTTTCATTAAATAGTCGTCAACTACGCAAGCAAGATTATAATTAGGCATACCATTTTGGCGCCAAAGAACAAAATCCTCAATATCTTGACCTTGAAAATTAATTTCTCCCCGCACTAAATCGCAAAAAGAGTATTTTTTTGCTTGGGGGATTTTGAGGCGTAAAACATAAGGAGTATTTTTTTGGAGTAAAAAATTAACTTCTTTTTCGCTTAATTGGCAGCATTTTCGTGAGTATTGGTAATTCCTTTTCTGATTTTTTTTTATATATTCGACTTTTTCTTGGGCTAATTCGGCAGGCGAGCAAAAGCAATAATAGGCTTTTTTTTCAACTAATAATTTTTCTATATATTTTCTATAAATATCTAATCTTTGGGTTTGTCGGTAAGGGTCATAATTTCCTGGTCGAAAAATTGATTCGTCAGGTTTTAATCCTAATCAGCATAAATCCTTATATAAGTTATTAACATATTCTTCCCGATTTCTTTTTAAATCAGTGTCCTCAATGCGGAGAATAAATTGACCGTTATTTTGCTTGGCTAATAAATAATTAAATAAAACAGTGCGGGCACCACCAACATGCAATTCGCCCGTGGGACTGGGGGCAAAGCGAGTTCTAACCATCACCCTTTTGTTTTCCACCATGAGCGGAGTTAGTTAGTTTTTCAATTTTTTTTAACTCCTTGTGAATTAGCCAAATGGCCAGAGCAGCAAAAAGCAAAGGAATCACATAACTTAAAACCATTAGATTTTCGTATTGCAGAGCTCTATTTTCCTTATCAGTTTGAATAAAAACTCTGGATAATTCAACCACAATGGTTATTATACCAAATTTTTTCAAGGTTTCTTTACAATGCTCGTTCGACTCTGTGGCTTTGGTAATTATATAATCTTTTTTTTTATCGGGAATGCCTTCGGCTTTATTAATGGCATAGCACATTTGATTAAAAGGTGATTTCAGTAAAGACGTAACAAAGCCGTCCACGCTAAATAAAAGCCCTTGACATAAGGCCAAAACCAGCATAAGCATCAAATTATTTCCATCCCAACCCTTCTTATCTGCTATCTCTCTTGCTCAATTGGAAGAAAAAAATCAAATTAAATAGCAAACAACATAAATAGTAATTAATCCAAATAAGTATCTTCAATACTGCTTAAATTTCTCATTAATCCTTCGAAAAGTTTTTTTATCAAGTGGCTTAATTTCCGCCTTTTTACTTTTTTGGTTGATTAAATTCATAAAATGTTATTCAATTAACAATATTATTTTATACTGTTAACCGTCAACGACCTTTTTGGCGACGAGCCACTATCACCGAATAATTTCTTTTCATACGGGCTAAAAAGCCGTGCTTGCGTTTTCTTTTCTTTTTTTTGGGCTGGTAGGTTCTTTTCATTATTTCCTTATCCTTAAAACAATTTAATTATATAATTTTATAGTAAAAAATGTTGTGAAAGCCTTACCGCTTGCGGAAAAATTGACAGTTTCAGGAAATAATTAAAACCGGGGTCAAAACAGTCAATCGCAGTTTTGTTATATTTGCAGTGGTCAATAATTTAAATAATTGTCAATTTGGCATTAGTATTCCCCAACGTATAGTAAAAAAAGCCGTCCCGAGAAATTATTACAAAAGGCAAATCCGTAATATGCTAATCCTCCATTTAAAAAAATATAATGACAGTTGCCGAACAAGCACTAATCATTGCCATTATAACCTAGTTATTATTATTCGCTATGCTTATTTAGAAAGGGATTTTTTAACTAATCAAAATAGTTTATATAAGTTGCTAGACGAAGTTTATCCAAAAAAAATTAATAATATATGTCAGACGGAGAAAAACCGAGTTTCACCAGAGCAGAAAACCGTTTAGTGAGGATAATCAAAAACACTTTACGAATACTTTGTCTAGTTCTGTTTTTCCATTGAATAATCTGACTTACTTCTTATGCTAATTGTATTAATTATTATGAGGGCATAAATGACAAATCTATCCAGCATCATGCTGACAAATCCGCCGAGTATAAGTGTTTTGGTGGTTGGCTTAATGAAGATAAAGAACAGTTAGATATTAAGACTATTGAGGAGGATGTTTTAAGTCAAATTGAAGAAAAAAAACCTGCCAAATTAAAAAAAGGCGAGTTGCTGCGGCATTGAGAAAAAGAAGAATTACCGAAGTTAGAAAAATTAGAACAAGAAATAAAAGAATTAGAAAAAAAAGATAACAAAAGTGAGGAGGAAAAAAACGAATTAGCCCAAAAAGAAACCGCTTATAAAAAAGAACTGACAGCAGCCAAAGAAGCCACTTGTGCCAACATTCGTCAACAGTTAAAAAAAAACGAATTAGAGATTACCGACTTAGATAGTAAAAGAAACATAAGGCAAAGAATGTGATATGACCCCTTAAAATTTTTTCTTATTAATCCTCTCAACCAAGTCAACCAAGCCTTGGGATTAAACAAAGTTGGTTTAGTATGAGAAATAATTTTTAAGTTGGTGGTTATCAAATTATTTTTCCTGGTGCTTCATTTTCCCGGTACCGAATTGCTATCAGAGAAGTTAAAATCCCGGGATGACCCCTCCGTGAGCATGGAAGAAAAAGAGCAAATTATGGAAGAAATTTCCCCCTTATTTAAATACTGATTTTTTAATGGGCTTATGTTTTTATTACAAGCGTTCGTAGTTCTCCATCCCTTTTTGTTTGATAGGACTAATCCCGCTCATTTAAAAAATATAAAAACTTTCTGGATTCTCCCACCCATAATCATTGTTTTGTTTTTAACCAGCATTAGTGGTGAGTTCCTGAAACAAAGACGAATACTAAACCAACGAGAAATAAAAGATTATTTAGCGAATAATTGGGTAATAACTGCATTTTTCTCTTTACTTATTTTTGCCCTTCTCTATTTTATTTCTTCCTCGCGTTATGGTGGCTGGATTAGTTATTTAATTTTGCTACTTAGTGGACTGATTGATTTTGTAATTAATATAATTAGAGCATGATTTTCCCGCTTTTCCATTAGACCAAAGAGAAAATTTAGAAAGTATAATTAAGATAAAGGGTGCTGATATATTCTCAATTTAGTAAATAGTTAACTAATTTTTTGACATATTCTTCCCGATTAGCCCCATAATCTAAAAAATAAGCATGTTCTCAAACATCAATCGCAATCAGCGGTCGTAAGTGTAAAGACCAAGGGCCATCTTGGTTAATGGTGTTAATAATTTGTAATTGATTATTTTGGTCCAATACTAATCAGGTCCAGCCACTTCCTCGCACTTTCAAAGCACTTTTTACCAGTTCTTTTTTAAGATTTTCCAAATTAGTAAACTTTTTTTCAATGACTCCTAATAGTTCTAAACCAATTTTTTCCTCTAATATTTTACTAGCTTTAACCAAATGAGTAAAGAAAAAATTGTGATTGATTAATCCCCCGCCAAAAAATTGGACATCTTCTTTTATTTCAGCCGGTAATTGCTCCAAATTCTCCATTAATTTCTCCAGGGTGGGGAATTGTTGCTCTAATTCGCTTCCCCGCACCGCCTCATTAAGTTTAGTTTCGTAATTTTGGTGGAGAATATTATAATGATAATACATGGTCTTGAAGTAGATTATTGGTTCTAATTCATTAAGCCCGTATGGTAATTTAATTCTTTGATAAGTGCCAGGCATAAATATTAATTTGATTTTTTATATATTTTTAATGAAATGACGCAGTTCTGACGGTTAAAAATAAATTAAAAAAAGAAACATTACAGGTGTTTTCTTTGCTCGCTTCAAAGAATTATAAGAGCTTATGAAAAACTAATAGATAATAAAATTGAAGAAATAACAGCAAAGAGAGGGGGGTTCTAGTGGGACTTTGTTATGTCAAATACCGTGGGAATTATCAGGTGAGGAAGCTAGTCGGGAAGATAAAATATGTCGCTTTTGTTTAGAGAAAAAACAAAAAGAAGGATAAAAATAATTATATGCTTATCGTAAATAATTGGTGAGAAACCAAGAGAAAAGAAATTAAACAAGCAGTCGGGGCAAAGTTTCAGCATACTTCGCCCATGCAAACTACCGATATTGAAAAAATTGTTTTAAATAGTGGTGTCGGGTCAGCCGTTAGTGATAAAAAATTCCTTGATAATACCGAAAAAGCCCTAGTTCAAGTTGCCCACGGACAAAAGCCGATTTTAACTTACGCCCGCAAGTCTATTATCACTTTTAAATTACGAGAAGGAATGCCAATTGGTTGTAAAGTAACTTTACGAAAAAAAAGAGCGTGGGACTTTCTGTTTGAATTAATAAATATAAACTTGCCTCGTATTGCCAATTTTCAAGGGTTTTCGCAGAAAAAGTTTGACCAGGTGGGAAATTATAACCTCGGAATAGATAATTTAAATATTTTTCCCACCGTTCCTTATGATTTAACTTTTAAAAATCAAGGAGTCCAAATTACTATTGTGTTTAAGTCTTCTTCATGAGAAGAAAATAATTATTTTTTGCGTTTGCTCGGCTTTCCCTTTCAAGAGAAGTAAAAAAATGTTTAGCAAGTTTTCCGCCGTAGCAGCTTAGAGAGTAATATTATAATCCAAAACTTAAAAAATCAAATTATGAATAATCAATTAATAATCAACTATATAAAAATACGAGAACAATGAAGAGATACCCTAAAAACCCAAGCCAACGCCCTCTCTGCCATTTGAGGTGGCTTATTTCGGCTTGGCACTTTTTTAGCCTATTGAGCCATAGAAAAGTTTTTTCTCTATGAAGAGATTAGCCAACTTTATCAGCGTAATCCCGATTATAAATATGTTTTCTATCTTTCCTTAGCCTTTGGTTTATGAGGAATAGTAGAAGTGTTGTTAGGAATATATAATTATTTTCAAGCTAGCCAACAAGCCGAACGGTTAGAAAAACAAGTAGAGCGATTGGAGAGAGAATTATAAATTAGACTTGGTCTTGCTACAAAAATAATGAAAATACTCGTAATCGGTGATATATTTGGCAAAACTGGTCGCCAAGTTATTAAAAATTACCTACCCCCTTTAAAAGAAAGATATCAAATTGACCTAACTATTGCTAATGTAGAGAATGCTACTCATGGTAAAGGAATATCCGCTAAGCATTATCGGGAATTAAAAGGCACGGGCGTTGAAATAATGACATCAGGTAATCATATTTTTGCTTGTGAAGAAACCCAAAAACTTATTAGAGAAGTATCAGATTTATTAAGACCCCTCAATGCTAATCCTTATCATCCTGGTTCGGGAACTATTTTAATAAATGTCAAAAATAAAAGAGTTCGTATTACCAATCTAATCGGAACTGCTTTTATGCCAACTGCCGCTGAAAACCCTTATTTGGTTTTGGAAAAATTATTAGAATTAAAAGACAGTGATATTCATTTAGTAGATTTTCATGCCGAAGCCACCGCCGAAAAAATTGCTTTGGCTTGGCATTACGACGGAAAAATTAGTGCTCTGTGGGGAACTCATACTCATGTCCAAACCGCCGACGAACGGATTTTACCCCACGGAACAGCCTTTATTACTGATTTAGGCATGACGGGACCTTATGGGGGGGTTATTGGGGCTAAACCCGAAGTAATTATCCAACGAGCCAAGTATGGCTTACCAGCGAAAATGGCTCCCTATGAGGACAAAGGGCAATTTAACGGAGTTATTTACGAGTTTGACGATATTACGAATAAAGTAGTAAGTATTAGGAGGATTAATGAGGTGTTTCAAGGCTAACGAAAAAGTTACAATAAAATTATTATTGATAAATTATGAAAAAAAAAAAAAAACACTTATTTTTTGTTTCTGCTAGTTGGTGGAATTATCGGAATAATTAGTTTAGCCTTAATTATTTTTTTCAGCCAAAATTATTCTCCGTCCCAGAATAAGAAAGAGAAACAAGCCCCGCTAATTCCTAATCCGCCTTCTCCGGAGAAGAATGACGCTTGTCCTTATAATGAAAGTAGTCTAGCTATTTATTCAAAAAGTGAAGGCAATATGAGAGCTCGCGAAGAGGAATTAAAAAAATGACGACAAATCCCGCGTGATTATATCATTGAACTCTGAAAAAAAGGTTATCATTGGTATGATATTATCCAACTTTGAACTTGAAAATTGGCGACCACAAATATTCCTGACTTAAAAGCCAAAGCAAGAGTAGGAGTAATAAACCAGTTAGCAGTGGGTTATAATTATTGAGACAAAAGCGGACCGTTGAAAATGGGTATAGTTCACGAATTAGTAATTATTGCTCGGAAAATTACTAGCGGCGGACCGAAAATTGTGGTTGATGAAAAACAAAAATACGATTTGCCATTGTGTCCTGACAGCGCCAATAAACTTATAAATCACCATAAAAAAGTAATCAATTTGGTCGACCAGCAAAAAGATATCAATCTCCCCTCGTGAGAAATCTTTATATTGAATAGTCTGGGCGCTGACCGTTTTAGAAAAGAAAGAGAAATTGCTTTTGGAAAAATTGGTGGGAAATCAGGCGGTAGTGCTCTTTATTTAGCCGTACTAAGTGCTTTAACTAAAAAACCAATTTCCGCCCAAGTAGCCGCTACCGGAGCCCTAGTTGCTAACCGACCCAAGAAAGGAAGAGTTAATGGTCAAGAAATTAGTTTAGAAAAGGGAACTAATTTACCCATTCAAGGGCTAAAAGAGAAAACTACCGCTTGTGTGGAAAAAGGAATTAATCACCTAGTGCTTTCTAAATATCAATCTTCACTTAATCTTTTAACTCTCTTCTGACCCCGAAAATGAAGAGGAGAATATACAGGCAATAATAATAAAGTGTATTCCGAGGAAAAATGAATATTAGCCCAGGATTATCAGCAAGTGGTCCCGCCCGAAATCCAAAAAAAAATGACAGTTTATTGGACAGAAAACATTAGAGAATTAGGAGAACTACTTTTAGGAGATAATTTGTCTTAAAGGTGTTTCTTAAATAAATCTCGCACCGTATCGGTAGGCTGTGCCCCCCGTGCTAACCATTTTTCAATATTATCTTTATCCAATTTTATTTCTTTACTGCGTGGATTATAAAATCCTAAATATTCTAAATAATTACCACTATCGCGTGCTCTTCTTTCGTCAATCGCGATTATTCAAAAAGAACGTTGACCTTTACGACCTTTCAGGCTGAAACGGATTTTTACCATTATTATAATATTTTAATGTTCCTACTTTAACTCCCAATCAGATTGAAGCTTTTACTTGAATTATTTTGCCAAATAACAGCTTTTAACCACTATTTTCTTTTTTTACTGCTCGGCAAAGCCTTGGATCCCCATAATTTCTTCATGAAAATAACTGCCAAGAGCAATAAACTTGTAAGTGAGAGGGTTCCTAAAACTCAATTTAAGTTTTGACTAGTGGTTTTTTCTTGTTCTGTTTTGGTTAATTGGCTACGAAAAGCCTCACTTTGAATGCTTTGTATTTCTTGGTAAGAATGAGCTTGACTAAGGCGTTGCTTATATTCAGGATTAAAGGAAAAAGCGGTATTTTCTCAATTTTTAATTATTTCTTGGGTAATCACTTCCCGCAAGGGGGCAGATAAGGGAACTTGACCGAAATTATTGACCGCCTTTTCTTTCTCGGCTAACTCTTGCTGTAAACGAGTAATAGTTTGTTCTTGGGTGCTACTAGGCTTTTGTAAGCGTTTTTTGATTTCATTGATAACTGAACGAAGAGCAGTGTTAGGGTCTAATCCTAATCCTAAATCAGTAATAATTTGCTGAATTACTTGTTGTTCTTTCTTACTTACTTTCTCTTGGGCTTTAGTTTCTCATTGTTGCTTTTCAGTTTTATATTGCTCTTGTTGTTGCTCTAATTTTTCCTGCTTAGCTTGGGCTTCTTGTTGAGCTTGGCTTAATTTATTTTCTAAATCAGAAACTTGGGTTAACTTATCTAATTCGCTATCAGTCGGACTATGACCTAATTTATCAACAATTTTCTTATATTCGTCAGCTTGGCTTTTTAGTTGGGGTAATGTTTTACTTCCATTATCTAGATAATCAACCTTTACCGTAGTTAAATCAGTTATTCCTAAATCAGTTTGAGCTTGGGTTAACTTATTTATATTTACTAACTTAGTATGTCAATTATTAGATAAAGGATTTTCACTTAATTCAGTTTTAATAGTAGTCAAGCCTCCGCGGGTAGTTTTTAATTCGGCTAAATCCGCAGCAGTTAAAGGAGTAGCAAAATTATCAGTAATAGCTGGGTTAATATTTAATTCAACTCTAACAATATTTAATTGAGCGTTAAGATTATTATAATCAGTTAACTTTTTTAAATTAGCGTTTCAGTTGGGTGGTAAAACTGTGCCAGCAGGAGAACCAAAAATAGCATTAATTTTATCTTCTCTATCTTTTAAATCATTAGTAGCTGTTCCGCCAGGCACTGCAGCCAAGGCTCGTCTTTGCTTAATACTGGCAATAGCTCCCATAATGATTTGAACTTTTTGCCTTAATAAGTCGGCGGTGCTGGTGTTCGTGGTCAAGTAAGCTTTTCAATCGGGTGCGGTGTCCTTAGCGTTAGCAATGGTGTTCGGATGCAAATGGTTAATTTCCGCTTTTAAGTCCGCATTAGTGATAGTGTTAGTTTTTAAGGTGTCTAAGGCCACGGTAGCTTGGGTGATAGCAGCAGCTTGGGCTTGGTCAGCTTTTTTTGCTCCTTCAATCAAAGCAGTATTTTTCGCCTGAGCCGCCGTTAGTTGGGCTTGTAAGTCAGTAATTTGTTGAGCAGTGGTTTGTTGAGCGTTAGTTAGTTTAGTGTTAGCAGCTTTGGTAGCAGTTAATTCCTTACTTAAATTTCAGTTCTTATCATGAGCAATTTGTAAAGAATCTTTTGATTTGGCTTGGGCAGTTCGTTCTTGCTGAGCCTGCTGAGTGGCTTGGGCAGCTGCAGCTTGGGCCTTAGTTAATTGCTCTTGTAAAGTCTGGGTGCTGTTAGTTAATTGCTGGTACTTAGTTTTTCAACTGTCCTGTTCCTTAATAGCTTCAGCCAAGGCTCGTCTTTGCTTAATACTGGCAATAGCTCCCATAATGATTTGAACTTTTTGCCTTAATAAGTCGGCG